TATTTTGTCATTAATGCATCCACCAAAACCTCATTAAGACTAGAATATGTCTAGTTGGCCCACCCTGGAGAAGGTTCTCAAGGATGTATTCTCGAAGCTCTTCAAGATTGATTTACTGCAAAAGGTTGTATGACGAACGCATTGAGAACCATTTGAAAGCTACAACAAAAGCTATTTAGCAACAATAAAAACCCTTTCCGAGTCATTTACCCTAGCTACTTGCTAAATCCACTAGGAAAGCATCAATCAAGATAGAAAAGGATTAATGAATCCGATCTTATCGAAATAATTAAAATAGAAACTGATGGTATAAAAATCTTGTTGAATATCAAAATTTATTACAATAGTTCTCATTAAGTGGCCTAGTTTTAAGTGCCTCATTAAATTTTAAGTGAAATGTATGTGAAAACATCGAAAAAAATAAGTCCGCTCTCGTAAAACGTCGATTTAACTAATTATTTTACATTGACAAAAATAAATTATTCTTAAGATCGAGCTAGACTGAGATTTTTTTGACGTCTTTGATTTCTATATAGGGGTACCATTTGTGAAAACCGAAAATGGAACATGTAACAAATTAAGAAAGATTTTGAACATTAATAACTCAGCTGCCACTGGTCCAATTTCAATAATTTTATCACCAATCGATCAGAAATATGGCAACGCATCGATAACAATGCTTCCAAATGTTGATTTTCAACAAGAAACTATTGAAAAACTGGTAAATGTCCAGCATTGTCCAAAAGCGTCGAATTAACTAACAAATCCACCAATTACCTACATGCATATGCTGCTTCCCCAGCACAGTCGTCAGAGAGTAGTAAGAAGACGAAACAAGTCGAAGTGGCATTCGCCTCCGATCCTCGGGCGCGTGCGAATAGGGAGGATGGAATTGCATAATATGTTGAACACTCATCGCCATACTCAGAACCACACGCTCCCAACGACCACACCACTGTGTGGTGGTGTTCGGTCGTTAAAATTAGTAACAGCAGTGCTTTCGGCGTGTGGCATTGAAAATTGTTCTCCAGTAACAACGAAAGGCTGCCTGCAAGCTGCGAGCTGCAGAGCCCACATAAGCAACCATCAAAGGTTGAAGAAGCTGCACCGCTATGCTATGGATTGGAATCAGTAGCTCTTCGTGAGTCGCTGCGGGTCGGTCATCTATGTCATGCGTGTCACCCTCGCTCCAAACGACATACAGCTCGACAGCCTCATCTGTGTTGTACACCCAGCTCAGAATTACTCAACCATCACCACAAAACGGTCCTTTTCAGGGCCACCAAAAATTTGTTAAAGAGTATAGTTCCCACAAGCAGCTAGCTATCAAGGCTCAACCTGTCTATAGAAGGTGTGGAATTGTAGGCCTGAATATATTGGTGCAATTAGCTTTTCCTCGGCTTTCATTCCGCACGATTCGTTTCTTTCGTTTAATCAATCACCCTTGTAGTGACGTCGAAAAGATTGTTTCAATCGGCGCTTACATATGATATTTAATGTGGATTATAGAATTTTTTGTATGTTACCAAAACGTATGAATGGTTTGCCTCTAAATGTTGAGATAATTGATTGATTATTGAATTATCACACTGTATACTATGAAAAAGCGGCCTGTTTGTGAGTTTTTGCCTGTTTTCAAGTAAGGCGTTATCATAAAAAACAAATCGTCAGCTGGTATTTCCCGGCGACTTTACAAATAAATAAAATCAAACAAAATCATCATACAGAACTAGCTAGGATTTGTTTTACTTCATATTTCACAAAATTGCTTTCGAGGGTTAAGACATCGTCTCCCGCAAAGTTTACATTTTTCCCTCTACCAACACATACATCAGGGCTAGATAGATCTCCACAGGATCTATAGAATCCACGCAATTTCAAAAAACCAAAATCCACAGCATTACGAAAAGAGGTCAAGTTTCGACCAATAGCAGATAGATTTTAATTCTAAATAAGCCAAACGATTGGAAATTTCTCTACCAATCTGCTAAATGAACGTTTAGTCAATTTTTAATAGGTCACTATTGAAAAATACCAAATGTCCAACTGTTGCAATGGTGATCAAAATTATCACCGAATGTCTGAAAACAGCGCATTCCCTAACACAGACTTAAAAATCGAATTCGATGCGGTCCCACTGAACGGTGCTCATTCAATCACCGTAAGTGGTGGTGTCCAGTCCAGCAGCAGCAGCAGCAGCAGCAGGAGTGCTTTCAACAACAACAACAACAACAACAACAACAACGAAAAGCTGCCTACAAGCAGCGAGCTGCAGAGCTCATATGGGCAACTATAGAGAAGGAGGAAGAAGTCCCACCGCTAGGCTAGGATCGGAATCAGTAGCTCGTCGTGCTCAGCTCAGCATTACTCAACCATCACTACAAAACGTCCTTTTCAGGACCACCATAAATTTGTTAAGAGTATTATTTGGACAATTGTCAAGGTCATCAGTTCCCGCAAGAAGCTAGCTATCAAGGCTCAACCTGGTCTCTATTGAAGGTGTGGAATTGTAGGCCCGAATGTATTGGTGAGTTTAATCATCGTCCGACCATTTTCCAGAACACGCTGGTAGGAAGCGTTAAAAATCCATATAGAATTTGAGAGAAGTGGGAATAATTCGCTTTGGATGTATATTCAGTCCCCAGAAAGCCAATAAAATCAAATTTGTGAGAAAATTTGCTCTCACGAGTTCAATCTCTCGAAGTCCCTCCTTTTTTACATATTCTGCACAAACGATACTTTCCGCCCCGCCCCTTTCATATAATTCCGAAGGAAATCCTGTGAGGGGTTAATTGAATACTCTTTAATACCAAAATGCACAAAACTTAAAAATTCATAAATAACAAAAAATTCAAAATACACCTTTAAAAGTCGGATAAATTAATCGAAAATACTCAAGTTGACAGTCCCTTGGATTCTCTTCATCAACTTTCTCTTTGAAATAAATACTACAAATTTGATACGCTTACAAATAAAAAAACGGGAAGAGTTAAGATAATTGATGATTGATCAATTTAAAATACTAAATGTTCACATTTGTTCCGTCCACTAGCGGTCCTACGTCAAGCTTCCGTTCGTGCCCCTAGGCACAGACCCTTCTACTTTTTTTTTTATGATTTTCGCATTTAAATGTTTGCTCATTGCTAAATTTACCAAAATATAGTTAAATCCAAGGAACTATAGATTGAAAATCGAATAATGTAAAAAACAAGCAAACTTATTGTAACATGGCGGTGGCATAAAACTTGCTTTTCATGGGTCGTTTGTCTTCTTTTCTTTATTTAACGCCGGTCTCTGTTCCACAATCTAGAGTGCCAATCACGAACGGACATCGATTGCCATCCATTGACGGCAATCGAATGTGCAGGAAGGCAGCTTCCACACCTGCGTAGGATATCGCACCCATTCAACACACATGGGCCGGGACCAACGGCTTTACTTCCCTTCCGAAGGAAGACGTGACCAGACATTTTTGTGCCTCATGGGTCGTTTGTGAAAAAGTTGTTTTGCTTTCAAGAAATCCTTAACAAATTCATAAGGTTTTAAAATGGCTTTTATGAAGAAAACTTGATCCTAACCCGTTCAGATTTATGGCAGCATTTATGGAGGCGAAGTAGCCTGCAAAAAGTAAAACGTCAAAGTTTGTTTATCTTTCGATATTTGCGCTGTGGGATCCAGGATTTTTCCAGGCGTTTTTTTTTCAAATGGATTGTGAGCAGTTACTCAGATAGTTTGCGATACTGTTGTACAACTTTTCGCATTTCGAATAGTTGGAAGCGCAATGGTTCCCGAAAAAGATCCCCTTCTTCCGGATTGTTACAGAAGTGCACCATCCAACGATGCAGGGATGTACGTTTGAATGAAATTTTCGGAGAGTTGATTCTTTCGCCGAATAAAATCGCTGCTATGGATCGGAAACCAGCTAATCTCCGCTAACTAACAGTTTCAATGGTTTGCTGTCGGTTGTCATCTATTTGCAAGATCTGGAGAAGGCTGGTATGTTTTTAAACTTCCCACGCTCACTTTACTCTTCATCGCCAGATGGTCAGTCGTTGATGGTGTGCTGGTTTTTCTAAAGAAGTAAATTTTGCTGAAATTGACTTAAATTTTTCATCCTACTTCGTCTATCCTTCGAGATTTCTTTGTCATAAATTTGGCTTTTAACTATGAAAAACCACCTTTGAGATCAATTTGTTAACAGAATAATTGGGGAGTTTATGATGCACTTTAAAAAGCCTAAAAAGCAAAAATAAATGCTTTTTGCTCTAATGCAAAACCTAATTGTTTTATGGTTGCTTTTATAATGATTGAACACGTTTATAAAGAATTTTATCAAGACATTCATAAACAATTTCTAATGACGTTTATGCTTGAATTACAGAGCAGTTTTAAGGAGTGATTGAGAACTGTTTGAAATTTATTTTTAAAACAAGGCAGTTTTCGACTTTCTTGCCACACTATAATAGGTTTTTAAAACAGCAAAAAGCTGAACTACTAAGCAGGAATGTTTTACACTTTGAGATGCTGTATTAATACTAAATGGATTTTTGATTGCCGATATAAAACCATCAAAAATCAGAGTGGACGCCAAATGGTTACTGAATTGTTACTTGGGTCGTTAGTGAGTTCCATCACGATATTTTTAGGAAAAAAATATTTAAAGTCGTCTGCTTTTCTGTGCTCATTTGTTATTTGCAACGTTCTTTTTTTTCTGGAGGGCTTGTCGAACTGTTTGAAACCAAACGGAAAGTGATTCTATGGGTGCTATATAAATGGAATCCCTTGAATAAGCTAACCCTTTAAGACGTATAAGTGATGAGAGCCGTTTAATCCTTAGATAGCGTGAATAAATAACAAACACACTTGTTGCAATCCTGAATGCCATTGAACCAGTTAACTCTGTAGAAATAAAAACACTCCTATTATCCACCGATACTCAGTCCAAAGCTGATCCACATACCGTCTCGTTAATCCGAAATCCAAACCGCTCTCACTTTCAGTGGCCATCGATCTGATCGTGCAGCACATCCGCGAGTTTCTCAACAACCGGACCCGGCAGGATCACAGTCCGCACCTGGCAACCGGCGGTACCAGTGCGCTGAATCTTCCCCGCGGCCAAGGTAAGATAACAACTAACGACAGCGATCCACACTATCGGCCACACTAAATTTTCAAGTCGATCACCAATCACCACGAGTGGGCTTTTGTTATACTTTGTATCGATCGTGTTGTGTTGTTGTTACTCTCACCGCATCCGAATCATATTTTACTCGTCGAACACACAGTAGCAGTCAAACGTCATTGTCTTTCACCCAATCAGTTCTACTTCTAACCCCACAGCTCCGCCTTTCTAAATACACACATAGATGTAGCGAAAGAGAGAAAGTATTTAGCTTAGCAGACTGTAGGCTTTTCCATTCGAATAGACTTATTTCGATAGATTGTTATTTATAGTGCCATACAGCGAAGACTACTAAAAAAATAATCAAGAAAATTGGAGACAGTTTGTGGTCTCCAACCTCCTTGATTTACAGTCAAGGCTCATCGCAATCACAAAACTTCAAATCTGTCTATCACATTTTACACGACTCACAAGAACATTCTAACGTGTGTTTTACTAGCGTTAAAACTAACTCTGTAAAAAGGGTAACTAAATCATTTAAGTAAGTAACAATAAGGAATAAGTTTCGCATTTAACACTTGCTTCCACTACTTAGAGCCAAAGGGTAAACAATACACACTTTTATGTACATACGTAAGTCGGAATCAAATCCATCACCAACGCATCTCATTGGCACCGATAGTCGAAATTCTAGTTAAGATAAATTTACTTGTAAAGTAACGAGTATGTTTGGTTTTTCCTTTTTAATAAAGCTACCTACAAACACTAAACAGAGTAGAAGCAACACCATAAGAAGCTGAATTCTTCTGCTAAGTTGGTTTGATGTTTGTTAGTTTCACCTGTAAGCGATTTTTCTGGCGTTCCATCAGTGATCACTAACGTAGTGGCTAATTTAAGCTAGCTTGTATTTGACGAAAAACGCGAGAGTTTTCCAACCTAATCCTAGTTGATAATACAGCATCCTCCCATCGCCATACAAACAAAAACAGCAACAATGAACATTAGAAACTCCAACGAGACCACCAGCTAAAAACATTGAATATCTTGAATTTATTTACCTGAAAATTACCTCCTATTGATATTCTACTTCTATTTTAATTCAAAATCTGACCATTCTAGTCCGTTACTTCGTTTTTCATTGAGACAAACAAATGAAGATGTCAATTTGAGCAAATAACATACAGTTGAGTGCAACGTAATGCAAAAAAAAACTTGCACGATTCAGTGTAAAAAGTTTGCATTCATACAACCACTAACAGCAGCAACGTTAGACTCCGAATACCAAAAATTAGTTCTAGTTCCATAAATTGTGCAACATCCTTGATGGTAAACAAAAAAAAACCACCTCTCCCCCGAGCCCTCACCATATATCGCTAATTGTTGACAAGTTGTGTATATTTTGTTGTTGATTATGCTTTCCAAAAGGCGATCACCGTCGGTACTGTTTTAAATTGTTTTCGTTTTGTTATTTTTTCTCCTACCCTACCATCCGCCAAATACTCGGTTTGAACCGTACTGAAAAACTGAAAACTATATATTCTCTGACCACTCACTAAATAATAATAAAAAAAAAATCGTCAAGATGAGAGCACTCCTCCTTCCCCTTCGTCATCAAGATTCAGACGGTTCTCGTCCACCATCATCAATAAGAAGCTGTTTTCAGTCGTATTCAACTAGTACTGCAGCAATGAGATTGATAACGATAATAATAACCTAGCAGCAATAGAAATCTCTAATAAATGAAAAACCGGTAGCCGTTCTGTGACCAGCGAAAAAGCAATATCATACCGTTGTGTGGAGCGAAAATATTTAGGTTTTTTTTTTCTTTCTTAATAGTCGATAGACGACACGTAAAACAATAACCTATTGGCTATCGAATGATATTGTACGAAATAATAATTAGGGGCCTTTTCGGAAAACAAATATGTGCGAAATTTTATGTTAGTATACGTAAGTCTGTTTTACAGTGTTGATTTCTTAAGCAAAATATTGCAGAGTTACCGAGTCAGGTTATGATTATATATTTAACTGAGTAACAAAAAATGACACGCTGACATTTAAGTTCAAAACTACATATGACCAGAGTACACAAATACATATTTAAACAATTTCGGTAGACTAAACTGTGGGAGTGCTTATTTAGATCCGAACATTTCCTTTACCACAACAGTACTTCGTTTGCTGGTAGTTTACTGACATAGTCTGCATTGATTGATCTCCGCGAACCCACTTAACTTATAATTAATCATCTTAAAGATAAATCGTCAAGCTTAGTGTTTACTCGGCTGTGTGTCAAGCGATCGCCTGTTTACTCGGCAGCAACCATTGTGTGTGCAACTTATTGTTCTTCAACAGCAGTTCTTTCGGTCGATGCGTCGTCGACTTTGGAAAGCAACCGTTTAGTGATGAGTGTGTGAGTGCTGACCACGTTTCACGTCCATTGCTGAAATGGAAGCGCTCTGTCCCCCGTTGGCAATACTGCTATACAATGAACCAACTGGAAGCGGATCCTATTCTGATGGAGGAGGCTTATTGGATAGCGGAAGATAAAGTGCTTGTTGTGTTGTACTTATTGGCTATAGTTTTAAGATGTTTTTTATAGTGATCAAGAAAAAAAGTAAGTAGTTGTATCCAAGACACGACCGTAGATTTGACGTAGTATTACGAAAGGTAGTTTTGATGTCCCAGCAAAGAAAGTATAGTATATATTAAATTGATTTTGTTATCAGTGAAAAAGTTCGATAGGTTGAAATTCGGAAGCAATTTGAGAGTTCTGTTTGTGAGGTGCTCTGTCGATGTCCATATAGTACAAGCCAATCCTGTACAATATGTCTTGGAAACAAGCTCTTACTCTTTAGTTAACTCTTTTATCAGTCATTTGTAGTCCGGAAAAGGACCGATGGGTTGGAATAGACCTTCCATACCGGGATGTACCGGGATGAAAAATCCCGGGATTTTTTTTTCATTTCCCGGGTTTCCCGAATCCCGGGAAAAAAGTTTTTTAATCCCGGGATCCCGTTCATCCCGGGATTAATTTTTTTAATTCATATTTTATACACAAATTATGTTCCACTGTAGGATAATTATTCGCAAATGACGTGGAACAAGTCATCATTTAATTATTCGTTTTCATTTGTTGATTTGATTCTTGATTAATATTGGACAAATTTATGATGGGTGCATGCAAATTTGAAAATAATACAGTTACTTTTATCAAGACAAAAAGAAAGAACCATGCTTCCATTGATTTACTGGATTTTTACTTCATTTATAAAAATAATAATATTGGCAGTAATAAGAATATTTGCAATTCTTCAATGAGAGAAAGAGAGTATATTGAATTCACCTTTGCGAATTATGATTGGTTGAAGTGCAAAAGCTATCGGCTATTTAAAGAGGGTGCATATTCCATGTGGGTCATGCTACAGACCAATCAGCCTCCTTTAAGCGCTGAGCAAATTGTTCGAAAAACTCATTCTCAATCGTTTGCTCAAGTTTGTCGAGGAAAATAACATTCTCCTTCCGGAACAGTTTGGGTTCAGAAAGGGGCACTCCACCAATCACCAGCTAGTACGGGTGATGAATAACATCCGAAGTAACAAATCTGTATCCAAGTCCACAGCCATGGCCTTGTTAGACGTTGAAAAGGCGTTTGACAATGTTTGGCATGATGGACTTGTGTACAAGCTTTGTAACTTCAACTTTCCTTTACATCTTATTAAAATCACCCGTAACTACCTCCAGCAAAGGTCGTTTCAGGTATCGTTGAATGGTTGTCTTTCCGACACGTTTTCCATCCCAGCAGGAGTCCCGCAAGGCAGTCTGCTGGGCCCCTTGCTTTACAGCATTTACACTTCCGACATTCCTCCCCTTGGAGACGGTTGTGTGTTTTTCCTGTTCGCAGATGATACCGCAATAGCCGTCAAAGGAAGGATGCCTCGCGAAATAACGAACAAACTTCAACGATGCCTTAACGCCTTTGCTGATTATGCCACCACGTGGAAAATTAAAATCAATCCCTCCAAAACACAAGCGATCATGTTCCTACATCGGCAATCGCCCAAACTGAAACCGGCTCCATCTTGTACTGTAATCATGGATGGCACAAGGGTTGAGTGGTCCGCCGAAGTAACCTATCTCGGGATGTTGTTCGATGAAAAGCTCCTCTTCCGTCCGCATGTAGAGAAAACAGTAGTCAAGTGTTCTGCCTTGGTTAGGTGTCTGTATCCGCTGATTTGCCGCAGATCTCGCCTCTCAAGGGTAAACAAACTGGCCGTCTACAAACAAATCATTGCGCCTGCGATCTTCTACGCAGCTCCGGTGTGGGAATCATGTGCACAGACTCACAGGAACAAAATCCAAATCGCTCAGAATAGAGTGCTGAGGATGGTTCTTGATCGTCCTTTCGACACTAGAATAACAAATTTACACGAAGAGGCAGGAATTGCCTAAATAGATTCAAGAATTAACGAAATTAAGACTAAATTTGCAGAAAAATGTAATTTATCAGAACATGCTTTGATAAGCAATTTGTATATAGTAGGTTAGGTGTATATAGTAGTTGTAGGTTAGTTGTAGTTGTAAATAGTAGTTATAAGTAGTCTCCTTTTTCCAATTCAAATCAAACCAATCCCACCAAGGTAGTCATACTTTAAAATAGGCCTGATAGGACTAGTAACTGTAAATAATAATTAAAATCTCAAATGAACTAAAGTTGAAAAGACGCATCTGTGTCACTTGAAAAATTCATCAATGTAAACCACACAAACACAAGAAATAAAGATCATTTTAAGTCCATGTGGGTCATTCTCCAGTCTGATTCCGTAAAGAACGCAACACCGTAGATACCAGTGAAAATCATCAGCCCTCCGATCATCCGACTGACGAGCCAGCGAGCCCTCTTGTCGTTCGACGGTTACCAAGGGAACAAGCAAAACTGGCAAGCGAGACTGATCGACTACTACGATCGAGAATGTGATTTAGAAGTGAAACCCCGAAAAGTCCAACCTCAAAAAAGATCCAGTTTTGCTGTCGTTAAATACGACAATAAAAAGTTCCAAATCTGCTTGAAAACGGTAAGTTATTTGTCTTTCATATCCAGTAGAAATACTTTTTTTTTTTATTTTGATTTGTTTGATTTGCAGAAATGGCGGACGTTTGGCAATATTTTACGAAGCTTTCCGCTGATGGTGAAAAAGCACAATGTTCCAAATGCCCACAGCAACTTTCCTGCAAGGGATCATCCACCAGTGGATTATTACGCCACTTGCAAAATAAGCACAAAATTACCCTAAAGACATCTGAAGATCATCAACCAACATCTGCACCAACCCCAAGTAAAGTATCGAGACCTGGAGGATCCACCACAGTAATGCAATTTATTAAACGTCAGTCTTTGGAAGAAATTGTAGCACGGCTTGCTGCACTTGACGGATTTTCAATCCACGCTATAACGAAAAGTGAGTTTATCCGCCAGTCAATTTCCACTCGTGGCATGCAACTCCCAAAATCAAACACAGCTGTGATGAAACTGGTACACGATTTTTGGAATAAAGCAAAAGATCTCACCAAGAACGAAATTGCAAAGCGAGTAGGAGGGGGTGAATGTATGAGCCTCACTTTGGATGAGTGGACCAGCATCAGTAATAAACGGTTTATCAATGCCAATGTGCACTGCTTCGACGGGATCATGTTCAATCTCGGGCTGGTTCGTGCTCATGGGTCTCTTCCGGCTGAAAAAATCCGAGAGGCTGTAAACAACAAATATTGCTGCTGCTACAACTGACGGAGCTGCCGTAATGGTGAAGTTTGGAAGGGAGTCAGAGTTCTGTCACCAACTGTGCTACAACCATGGGCTTCATTTAGCGGTGATGGATGTCCTCCGGAAAGACAACTCTGCTATGACTGATTCCACAGACGATACCGATGATGACTGCAATTATGACGAATACTCCGATGAAGAAACTGACACACCATCTGGTATGTTGTTTTTATTAATGTACTTTACTTGAAAATTAGTTGTACTTTTATTTTTTTAGCGCTTTATCGTACGCGTTTTGCTGAAATTCTGAAGCATTCACCGGCAATCGCCGGTGAAAAATGGGATCTTGCAAGATAAGATAATCGCTGCTCATACAAAACCGCTGCAATTGATAATTGACGTCACGACTAGGTGGAACAGCACTGAACAGATGGTCGAACGATTCCTACGTGTCTATGAAAGCATCAAGGAGACACTAACCGAGCTTGGACAGCGCAATCCACTGTCTGACAATGACGTGCATAGTCTTCAGATACTTTTTGATGCATTGCAACCAATTAGATTGGTATCTGAAGCAATAGGCAGATGAGATGCGACTCTGCTAACTGCTGAAGGGAGTTTGAGTTTTTTACTTTCGAAACTAAAGCAGCAGAACAACGCAATTGCAAACGAGTTGCATGACGCCATTTACGACAGGATTTGTTCGCGACGAAATAAGGAACTGGTCTCATTAATGAAGTTTTTAAAAACTAAACACATGGGCTCAACCAGCGAAATGCCAACGTGCTCCAGGTCGCAGTTGATG